AATAATATTAGCACAAAACAAATTGAACAGAGTCGATGGTTCCGACCCAAGCTTGGCGATCCTGATAATTAGTCAGTTTGAAAATCTGCCAAGTAATGAGACATGTGACTTTGAAAAGGATTATATTGTGCATGATTCGGGGAAACCTATTCAGGATATGACCGATGATGACTTCTCTTCATGTAACGAAAGAAATTAGAAAATTTTGACTTTGAAATAGTCACTGCAAACGAAACGCAATTTTGCAAGTTCACAGAAGTTGAATGACGATATTTCACAAGTATAACACCCTCAATAGGACATGGTCACTTTTCTGCGAATGAGGAAGATGAAAGTTCTCATATATCTGTGTCAGTTTTAAACAAGGAAAGAAAGTCTTCCTTAACAACAGATGATACATTTTCACACACAGAGACATTAAACAGTTTGGGCCTGACAGCGACACATTTTCAGACTTCTGACACTGAGCTCCCAAAGCTTAAGACAAACTTGCTTGGCTGTGATGAGAGTTAATGCAACGATGGGAAAGACGGATGAAGCTGATACAGTTAGAATGGAAATGACTTTCCCAATTGATACTGCAAAACGCGAAAACATTCGCAAACGCCTTGGCCAGGATTTGGAACCTGGAGAAGTGCAGTCTGATTCAGATGATGATGGAGAAAACAAACACACCTTGCCCAAGTCCAATAGTTCCTTGTCTTATATCCTCAGGGAACGACGAAAGGATGACGGACCTGAAGCTTTCCGGCTCCTTGGAAAAGAATAAGTTTTATTCTTTTGCATTAGATAAAACTATAACTCCTGACACAAAAGCACTCCTTGAAAGCCAAGACACTGTATTCCTCAAGGGAAGATAATTGGTCTTTTCTTCCCTCACGTTTTCCAACCTCAAACAGCTGTTCAGATAAGGACAAGGTAGAGCTAGCACCTCGACCTATTCCTTCTTGGTATATGAAAAAGAAAAAGATTCGTACTGACTCTGATGAAAAGCTCCACAATAAAAAGGAGGAACTAAAGCCACAGGACCAAGAGCGTCAGGACCTGTTTGCCTCTCGCTTTCTGCACAGCTCAATCTTTGAACAGGATTCCGGCGTTTGCAGCATCTTGAACGTAAAGACCAAGATTTAGAAACTGGAGTTGGTAGGCCTAAGCCAGGTGCAACTGAGGCACAACCTGAATCTGGAATAGGTGACATCCCACAAGAACCCATAGTTCTTTTCCATAGTCGGTTTTTGGAGCTTCAACAACAAAAGGACAAGGACCATCCTCCACCTGATACTGAGAATGATTCGATAGTGGTGGAGATTAAAAGAGATGAAGTGCAGAATTGTGTGCTGTCTGATAAGGAATCTGACCCAGCACTGAAGCTGGATGACAAATCATCCAGCCCCCTATTAACCTTGTCAGTTTCACCATTTGTTCCTTCCCCTAAAGAAATGTCTTTACCAGAAAAGAAAGAACTTTTATCTCCATCTTCAGATCAACCTGTGTTATTTGTCAAAGAAGAAAAGTAGAGCCAGTTCTTGAGGTACCTCCGTCTCAAAATTCTCTTCCTATGGAAGACTTAAAACCAGTTGCTCCTAAGCTAATCATAACCCCTCCACTTGCCCTTCCTGAGCCAGAGAATGAAATAGATACAAAAGTAGATATAATTGAACCCAAAGTGAAAATTGGAGATAGTTTTGCTGTGGAACATACTCCTCTTGCGGAAGATAAGCCTCCCACTCCTGGCGGTTCATTAAGTGGATTTGAAAGAGAAACTGTAGAATTCACTTATTCTGACTACCCAAAGATTGAAGAAAAATCTGAAATTATTAAGACAGAACCGAAAATTGAAAATCAGGAAACTAAACACTTGGAGGAGTCTCAGAAAACGGAGACAGATAGTGAGGTGGGCATGCCAGTGCTAGAGACTGAAATAAAACCATTACCAAACCGCAGACAGCCCAAGAGTAAAAGGGCAAAACCACTGTCCGTATTATGCACTTCAAAGCCTTCCCAAACAGTTGCCACAGAGAAACCTGCAACACGAAAGAGTGAACGGATTGACAGAGAGAAACTCAAAAGGGCCTCCTCTCCTCGTGCAGAAGTACCAAAAGCATCATTTGAGTCTAAAACCACATCCAAATCACCAATTCATGCATCAGATTCTGAACAAAACCTTGAGTCAAGTTTGATCCATGGGAGAACACGTCGCAGGAACGTAAGGTCAGTCTATGCCACGCTACATGAAGACGACCAAGCTGGCAAAGAGGTGGTTGAGTCATCACGCTCCATGCGCAAACGTGGTGCTGATAAAGAACCAATACAACAAGATGTTCAAATTCCATCTACCAATACAAGGCGTGGGCGCCCACCTAAAAGAGGTGTCAAACGAGGTGAGGATGCATCACCAGTTAAGGGGGATCAGCAGAAAATGGTGGAAGAAGAAACGGAGGAAAAGGAGACCTCAACTACTGTAGAGGTTGTGAAAGCCTCTGAGGGATGGCGTTCACCCCGCACCCAGAAACTGCAACAAACACAACTGACTTCATCTGCTCCAGTTAACAGGAAAGGAGGCAGAATAGACAAACAGTGTGGCAGCACTACAGTGCTAGCTGAGCAAGCTGATCTGGCAGGTCATGATGACTCTGAACTTAAGCCAAAAGCTGATTCCGAACTGTTTGGGAAATTATCTGAAAAGGCAGAAAATGCAAGCTCGCCGGTGCACAGAAAGGAAAAAGACTTAAAAGATTCTGGTGGAAAGAAATCTACTGATGGGGATATTGAAAAGGTAGACACCAGCTTCTCTGAGAGGAGACAACAGCCTGAAAAGAGTGTTAAAATGAAAACGCCAAGGCTGAAAAGAAACACCAAGCTGGACAGTGATGATAAATCACACAGCTTAAAAAATCTTGAGATCCGTGTAAGCGTTGATGACGTGAAAGGTTTACTTCGTTCAGAGGACGAGGAGGCCTGAGACATTTGAAGCTCCTACTATTACAAAAAACAAGACAGTAGTGCAAGAGAATGACGAAACTAAGATCACAAGCCTTCCAAAAGAATCAAAAGAACCTGATGCACAAGAAAAGGAAGACACCTTATCAGAACCTGAACTTCCTACTGATCCAGCTGCTTCCCTCTTAGCACGGCAGATGGAACTAGAGCAGGCAGTTGAAAATATTGCTAAACTAACAGTTGAGCAACCTCCTCGACCATATAAAGAACCACCTTCAGGGCAACCTACCATATCGCCTCCTGTTATAGTAGAGCCCGAAGGTGAGGTTGAGGAGGAGAAGCGAGCTAATCCTGCTAGCGAAACTGAACTTGCAGCCGCTATTGATTCCATCACAGCTGAAGAAACATGTGCAGATGCGGATGGTTTTACAGCTCCTCCTACTTACACGGCCCTTATTCCTCCTCCTGAATCCTTGATATCCCCGTCCTCCAATGAGATTATGGAACCTGAAACACACATGGTGATCAACAATATTCTTGCAGCGGACTCGGATGATGGTCCTCTGACATCCAGCCCAAAAGGGCCTATGGCAGAGTCTAAGGCAGCTGAGGAGACCCCTCTGCTTGAAACACCCAAGAAAACAGGCAAAGTTAGAGCCAAAACCCCAAAGAAGTCGCGAAGTCGCAAAGGTGCAGCTAACAAAAAAGGGGATACTGTGGAAGAGGCTTCACAACCAGAGCCTTCCCTAGTCAAATTACCAGAGTCGATCCCAGAAGACCCAAAAACCATCAATTCAAAAGCAGTTACTGTAACAGCTGGGGCAACTGCAGCAGCCTCTGTGGTCACTGCCGTTGCAACTTGTAGGCGTGATGTTACAAGTGCTATAACTGTAGATACCCCCAAAGAGGCAGAACAGCCTGAAGTTGAACAGCCTGTACCCAAAGAATCTGCCTTTCATTCAGGTGCAAGCAACATCTCCAGTTGTAAAAAGCATCCCCAAGCAGCAGAGCCATCCACCCCTGCACTTGCCCCTGCTCCTGCCCGCCCACAACCTGTATCCCAGTTCAATGTACCCCTGCTGCGGCCTGCCAAAATGGCACTTTCGCCAGACTGGCCTCCGAGAACTGAAGAGAGTAGAATCTATGTTGCTCCTTCGTGCCACGTCACAGTGGTAACTCCTTCTGCACCAGCATCATCTACACTTGGAACCCCTTCATCAAATCCCCCAATGCCTCCTGACACAAAGGCCTCAGATATTGACCCCAGTTCCAGTACCTTACGAAAAATCCTAATGGAACCTAAATATGTGTCTGCATCAAACAGCAATTCTATACATACCACTTTGGTGACATCTGCACTGTCAGATCCTTCACGGATGTCAGAGAATGAAAATCCATCTGATACAGTGGGTTCAAGACAGTTACATCTTGAAGAGAGACCACCTTTACCCCCCCAGCCCATACACCACAAACCCTTTCCACTAACTGAGTCCCAACAGAACTGTGGAGAGAAGACCCAGCATACAATTATTTCTCCTGCTACCTCAGTAATAAGTCGAATTCCGATGCCTTATGATACAGAGGAAACTCCACGAATTTCCCTAAGCAACCGTAACACTGGCATATCTATTCCCAAGCAAAAATTTAGGTCAAACTCTAATGAGAACAATCGTTACCATGGCATGGATGTAGTAGAAGATGGGGCAAGAGGGCGCTCTGTTGTTGAGACCACTCCCTTTAGTGCAGGCTCCGGACCTGGCCTAAGGGTCAATACATCAGAGGGCGTTGTTGTTCTGAGTTATTCGGGACAGAAAACTGAAGGAACTCACAGGATGAGAGCCAAAATTAGTCAAATTCCTCAAGCCAGTGCTGGTGATATAGAGTTTCAGCAGTCTGTGTCTAAATCTTCGGTAAAGCAAGACACACTCATGACATCATCCCAGTCGCCCACCCCAAAAGTAGCCGCACCTCCGACAGTTTATGGGCACACAGGTGTTCTCTTGACAGGCCAGTCTTATAATTCACAACCTGTCATTTCCAGTAACAAGCAGGAGAGTCTTGGTTGTGACAAGTCTGAAGCTCCGTATCACACAGCATCCCAGGGAGGCGTGGTAAAGATGTTCCAACAGCCAGTTAGTTCTGCTCAAGTCCTGATGTACAACCAAGCTGTGATACAGCAACATGGCAAGAGAGGACTGGGGACAGAACCTCTGCCAAAGAAGATGGACATTAGCAAAGCTGTTCAGCAGTCTAACCTCAGCGCAGTCATGAGTCCACACCACCCATCACTATCTGGAACCCGCATGAGCCCCAGCCCTGGCATCCCAACTGATCGATCAGCTCTACACCTAAAGCAAGAACCCCAGTCCCCACGAACAGCTGTTCACTCCCCTTCACCCTTTGTCAAAGCCTGTCCTCCAAGCAATTCTCCTAGAGGAACTTCTGTCGTTCTAGGTCATGGCATGCCACAAATGTCGACATATCATTCTAGTATGCATCACCCACACTCAGAACAGTCCTCCGTCATAATTCAACCTCACAGTGTTACCCAGTCAATGGCTCATGAAGCCAGGATGAACACCCCACCAATGTCTGGGATAAATTATGTTAGGCGAGGTGACTCCCTCTCCTCTCCGCACCCAGGGCCTCCACAGCGATCAAACACACCGCAGCCTAATATCATTCGAGATATGGTACTGCAGTCTCATTCAAGTCCCCAGGGGTCGGTATCAGGTGGTGGTGGCGGTAGCAGTGCAAGTGAAGAAGACCCCAGACACTTTAACCAAGCCCTTAATAGACCCTCTGTTCCCCAGCTCCAATCAGATGTAATGATTATTCACAGTGATCACAGAGGGCTCCACCCAAGCATACGTATGGAACAGTACAGAGACATGCACCAGCGCATCCTCATGCATCAGCAACTGGGAGAGCAAGCTGCTGTAGAAGCAAGACAGTCACGGACCTCAGAGACTGGAACAACGTCTTCAAGCAACATCTCTGGACCTTCAAAGAGTCCTATAGTGGGGAAGAGCAGTGAACATTCCACAAAAGAATCTCTTAAACCACTAGAAGGAAAGCTGATACATCCACCCTCCAACGAAAGTCGAATCAGGGGCGTCCACGCATCAAGTCCCGTCATGGTGTCTCCTCACTCTCATGGGGTTCAGCTGGTGCATCCAGGAGGTGCAGGCTCCTTTCCAGTATATCGAGACATGCGAGGGTTCCCTTCCCAGTTCACAGGACATTCTTCATCGGGACACAACCTGGCTAACCAAGGCGTTACATCTTCACAGGTCACTTGATATGATATCTATTATTGGCTTTAGACATATTTGAGCATTTGATTATATAGTGTGTATATTTTGCATTTTCAAGTTAAAGATATTCATATACACATACAAAATATGCATAGCTTTACTTATTTGGTATGTATTTTCTTAACCAGGTCCCTCGTGAGCCTGAGCTGGTTCACAGGAGTAAAATGTCTCAGTCACATGGGGGAGGAAGTGATTCCAAGCCTGAGAATTCCCATCTTCGCCATGCTACCTCTTCAGATGTCTCACACATTTCCCGAATACCAGGGGATACGATCTCACCCTCATACCAATCTTCCTTGACCTCCCCTATGGCTCTTACTCACAAGCCAGATCTATCTCTACAGAAAGGCCCTCCAGCCTTCCTGCCCACACCTCCACCAGCAGGTTCACTGCAGCCACGGCCTGATGTGAAGCTGGAACATTCAGGACATCGTTCCGTTGACATGGTGCAGCTTTTGACGGTAGGAAGACAAATTGGCCAGCAGTGTCATCATACAAGGAGCAAATTTTCAAGACAATAACAAAGACAAAAATTTGTTTTTAAAAAATATATATATTTTTTGTTTTATGTACAGAAATATCCTATTGTATGGCAAGGCCTGTTGGCACTAAAGAACGACCAGGCTGCTGTCCAGTTGCACTTTGTTTCTGGCAACACCATACTGGCCCAGCGCTCCCTGCCACCCCCAGAGGGAGGTCCTCTTTTGCGTATTGTCCAGAGGATGAGGCTTGAGGCTTCCCAGCTGGACAGTGTGGCACGCAGAATGACTGTAAGTATTTTGCTTTTTACTACCTAAAAAGCAGGTTCTAATATTTGGGTGAAAATATTTAATGAGACTAATCATAATATTGCAGATTCATATGTTGTAGCCAATAACCTGATCAATGTTCTGTTCTGTTCTAAAAAGAAAGCATTTGTCTTAGTTGTGGAGATGTGTGTTTATGTTTAAATTGGTGATAAAGACTTGTTGTTCTTGGCAGGTGGAGAATGACTACTGTTTGCTACTGGCCCTACCCTGTGGTCGAGACCAAGAAGATGTCCTTGGTCAAACCCAAGCCTTGAAAAGTGGCTTCATCACCTACCTGCAAGCCAAACAGGCAGCTGGCATCATCAATGTTCCCAACCCTGGCTCTAATCAGGTCTGTGGTCACTGAAACATTTTCTGTTCTACCTTTCTTTTTTCAAATTTTACCTGTGTTTCATAATGAAATATGAAGATTTAGTTTCCTACCTCATCGTGTTATTTTCATTTTTGAATTCACAGCCAGCTTATGTGGTGCAGATTTTCCCACCGTGTGAATTCTCGGAGAGCCACCTTTCGCGCCTGGCCCCGGACCTTCTCAACAGCATCTCCAGCATTTCTCCTCACCTCATGATTGTCATTGCCTCTGTTTAGTTACCTCCATTTTTACCTGAACAAAGCCAACACCAGCCCTTTTGGACTTGTCCAGTTTTGTAAACTGGAATTGCCTCATATTTTTATGAGTTTGACTTTTTTGAAAAATGTAATTTAGCATGCACTCACCTTTTCTTCTTCACTTCACCAAGTCCTTAAGTCATTCAGTGACATTGAATTCCAAAAACTATACCTTTTACAGAGAGGATCTGAAGGGTTGAACGAGGATTTTTGATGATCATATGTGACGTGTCATTTCATTTTTGCCATTTTTGGAGGTGTTGTGCATAGCCTTTTCTAATTCATAGCATTCATAAATCTATGGATTGAGACCTTCCTATGGGATATTTTTTACCTTCATAAAAGTGATTGTGATTTTTTTTTTTTATTTTAAACACAAACGATGTGAGAAGTCATTGCACTATGTTAAGGAAAAAATTGTGAACTCTGTACAGATTTGAGTATAAAATGATAGATGTAAAGGAACTACTCTCGTGATCAGCCATCATGCTTGTGCAAGATAAAAGAAAGTCATTGCCTGGAAAATGATAAAGAATCATTTCCGCCTGATCAATCAAACTGCTTTTGCTCCTTCACCATCAATCAACTTCTACGTCATTTCCGGACTCAACTCTCCATCCCGAAGTGTTCCCTGCCCCAGGAACTCGTGAGGGGACGTTTAGAGTTGTACAGTTTACACTCAATGCCTCAACAGGGGACTATATAAAGAATATTTAATTTGTTTATTTTTGTTTGCATCTTCTAGCCTAAGGGTATTGTGGACAATTGTGAAACTGTAAATATTATACATATTTAAAGACTGAAGTAATGTGGAGAGACCAAGTGAATTATTTTACAAGACAGATCATCAAGTTCCAATGTTTTCTTTCTTTCTTTGAGAAGGGGCAAGAGGGTGAAAGGATCTGTTGTATCCAGGAGCGATATTCACAGGAAGGTGGGTTTTTTTTTTAGTTTTTTTTTTTTTTTAATTGATTCAGTGCCAAAATGTCTTTTGCAAACGCTCAACTCACGCAATGTATCTTTAAAAAAAAAAAAAAAAAAAAAAAGTTGATCAGAACCTATTTTCATATGTGACTTTGTATTTTGCCACTCAGAGGGCAGACTTGATTCATTGGTTTTGTATTGTCCATCAACCCAACTCTGTTACTACAGTGCTTTTACATTATGAAATAGTATCCTCATTTTGAAGGAACCATTGTATTGTAGGGTTGCATTTCTGTTTGTATTCCTTTTATCCTCTCCCTGATGTGGTCCTCTACTGCCCCCTCCTGTCTGAAAATCATCCTCTTGCATATTAAGGACTGCACCCTGAAGTCATTTAAGCCGTGACTTCATGACAGATGTGCTATAGCATGCTTTATTTTCAAATCTCATAATAGTAAAGTAAAATCACAGAGGCAAAGAATGTGAGTTGAACTTATCATCATGCCGCTAATGGATGTGTTGATCATAAGTCTCCATCCCTGTCCTTAACTGTCTCCTTGAGCCAAGCTGTAAATACTAATGTCCTTAATCTGTGCTCTTGTGTATTTCCCCCCTTTATAATTGTCTTTCTTCAGGGTCCTTTTTTGTTTTGTGCAACAAAACAAAGCAGTCTGAAAGAGACAGGAGATGAGGTATGTGAAACCGATGCTGAAAGTAAAACCATGCTTGTCAGTTTTGTGGTGTAAATATTTCTATGACTGCAAGCTGAATACTGTCATGGTTGTGTTGAAGGCACTTATAATTTTTGATAAACAAATGAGAAGAAAATACAAAAAACAAACAAACAAACTTAAAACGGTGATTAATATGAAAACTGTCTTTTGATCAATCTTCATTTTGAGTGTACTTTGCTGTTCCTCCATGAGGACATTTTAAACTGTAAAATAAATGGTTGTTTAACTTACTTCTGAAGATCATTAAATGGTCCGTCACTCTTGGTTTCTGTATTTGTGACTTGTGTTTTGATTTTGATGCTCTGACTGGGAAAAGAAAGAAATCTCCAGAATTATGACTGTGGATCAAGAAAGAAGACTACAGTATTGAATCTGCTCACTATCTGGATCCATGAAGTTGTGTTGCTCAGCAACATGCTGAAACACTTTCTGAGAGTTGCAGCAGTTTAAACAGTGAAAATACTTAAATACTTACCTGATATACCATCTCTCATCAGAATCAGTGCTGCAGTCCATTCAGCAGTCAGAAGATGTCAGTATCTGCCTAAACTACATTACTGAGGTTCAAGCCCTGACACAGCTTTGTGAAGTGAGTCAGGCAACACAGAAGTCAGTAGTAATTTCAATTCACAATGAAAGTGATTTGTTATTGGAAACTGTGGCCTTCATCTTGATATGACCATGTATTTCCTGGAGCATAGAATTTTCCTACATCTTTGAATTTGAATGTGTCAGAGGAAAGTGTCCACTATTAGAAGCAGAGAACCACCAAGACATTTGTCTTTGACTTTGATATTGTATGCCTAAACATGTCCGTCTTAGTCAGGGAAGATTCTACTATCTACTACCATTGTACTTCATTGTATTGGTGCTTTAATGCATATAGAGAATGCTTTCTCAAGTCATCCCTCATCTTGGAAAAAATAACGGGGAAATTATCATTTTAAAAAGCATTGTCTTTCACATAAGAAATATATGAAAAGGAAAAATGCAGTGTGCAGAAAACACCAGCACTGTGTCAAATATTTATGAAATGACAAAACTTGAACGTAAGTGACAAATTCTAAAAAATATTGTTGTGGCTCAGTTTTTAGAGCAGTGTTCAAATACTGCTACGGAGCAAGACAATTTGAGCACCATGGCTGTCAAGACTGCCGACTCATCCCTGACGAAAACAGCTCCATGGTTTCGGGAATTTTAAGGGTTTCCGGCTGCACCCGTCAGTACAGTACACTAGCTAACAGATTCCCCAGAGGAAGGCCTGTGGGGATTTAGTGGTGATTGGAATTCCATTTGGAAACATTTGGTGGTCAGGGCTGCAGGATCTTTCATTATTTTTGGAAGTACTCCTTAGAGTACAATTAATTACAATCAAATGCAGAAATTCTGTGAAGAGACGCCAACATAGTGTAGATTTACTAGGATTTTTATTTTATAAGAAAACATTTATGTAACAACAACACTGCTATTTTTCATCTTCAAGTATGATGCTCTAGGTCAAGGCTTCACATAAAAAAGGATGACACTGAGCAGCAGCAAGCTGGTGACTGTGCATCCAAAGGGGAGTACAGAGGGCCAGGCCCATGATTTACTCACTTTCTCTCTGCTGTTATTATGCCTACAGTAGAAAGAAAAGAGGGTAACCTCGGGGAAGAGGTGAGGCATAATTGATTTCTAGTGCCTTGACAGGCCTAGAGTTGGAATGTTAATTGACGCCCTGTTTGCAGGGAAAAGAAGCAGACCAGATTGGGATATGGCAGTGAAAATACAAGACTTAAGGAGAAATTCAAAATACTTCCCTGCATGTTCCCCCTCCTCCAGATTTGTAGTTCTTCTAAGATTACAGGTTCTGCCTTTGAGCGATGAAGTGAAGTCAAGGAGGAGTCATGTGCCCTTGTCCTTAAAGTAGACCCTTTTTCATATTTCTGAGCCGTTCTCCTCTTGAATTCTTTGCCACAAGAAGACATTTTGAAAGCCCAATTTTAGCTAGAAAATGAGAAGAATGTTAAAAATTCAGAGGTTGGTTTTTTAGACACTGATAAGTGCTTGTTTTCTTGTTTGTGTCCTTTTGGCATTGAGTTCCCTACATTCCATGCTGGTGTTTGGACAATTTGTCCTTACATGAGATCACAGAATAAAACGTGTTTGCATGAAGCTGTCCATACATTTTAACCCGTGCCCAACTGGACCTCTCATTATCACTGATTCTGGGCACAACTGGTTGAGTGGTTACATTACTGTTCAATGAACTTAAATACGAGATGCATGAACATAGTCATGACAGGAGCTCTGGAAAAATCTGTTTTGACAAGCATTTACCCGTAATCTAACAGCCAATATGAAAACTGACAGAAAGAATTGTTGAGAGTAATAAAAAAGAAGCTCAGAAGGTTTTGAAAGTGAACTTATGCTCAACAGATGATTGCCTGGCTGCTTTTCTTGCCACAAAAGCCGTAACCTCCATAACCAGAGGCAGCATTAATATTACCTTTTAAAAAGCCACCAACCTTTTGTTGTGAGCCTCAAGCCCGACTTGTGGTTGTAGCTGAAAATTTGGCTCACCTCTGCCCGCAGCTGCTTGGGGGAATTTTTATACAGCAGTGCTGTGATTTGTTCCAGGTCATAGACATTTAGAAGCTTTTGTATTTGTGTGTACTCTTTTGTGGACGATGACTCCCTCATGTGATTCTGGGATTTGGGATGTTAATTGCAGTTGTTAGCTGCTGGGAATGTAAATCAGGCTTTCTACATAGTTTGTGGATTTTTAGTGTTGTTGTTGCATTTTTGTTTCATGCGATATTAAAAAAAGCCTCTTCAAAATACATGTTCTAGCTTTATCAGCTTTCATAAAACCTTAAAGCATTTCTTTGTCAGCTCATCTCTTAGAACTGTGTGAATACATTTCAGCTTTTTTATTTGGCCTCATTTGTGAAATGAGAAAATACATAAATCCAGATATTGTAATTATTTGTATAAACACATTATATACTGAATAAGTTATAAGAGTAGTAAGTCACTTTTTTTCTCATTGAGAGATTGTAAACAAACTACTCTGCTGTCTATAAATGTTTACCTTCTATTGCTTGCCACTGAACTAACCTTACTCTGTCAAGCTGGTGACTGTGAGGCAGTTATGAACAGTCAAAAGTGGCCCCTGGCCGCCCCTTGGCAGTGCCCCAGGCTTTTACTGGTTGTTTCTTGTCACATTATTGGCAAGGATATCAATAGACCAAACTCCCAAAGAAGGAACGAATGAGATGTTGTCTCCACTGGCCTCATCAGTCTCAAAGACGGAACAGGCACTAATGTGAGAGCAGGAGACGTAAGTCAGCATTTTCTAATGAAACAACCACTCACACAAAGTAGACATGGCTGATTTAGATGTTTGCTTGATAAGGTACTATAATACAGATTCTGTTTGTTTATTGTGCTGACATTACTGTTTGCTAATGGTCGAATTAATGATCAGAGCATGTTTGGGAGACAAACATTGCTTGGAGCCTAAGTGTAAATGCTTTAATCTGAGAGATTTAATGTGAACATAAACTGCAGAGAAAGCATGTGAGTTAGATTAGATGCTGTTTTAGTGTTTTAGTCGGCCTACCAGAGCATTACAGTCAGGAAGAAGAGGCAAAGGTCATGTGGATAAATACACACAGACTCTATCTAGTAATTTACAAAATGTTTACGGGGTGATATCAGTAAAACTTTAACTTTCAATCCATCTTGTAACCCTGTAAATAAGTTGTCATGCAAACAATATGTCACATAGCTGAATTATAATATCTGTGCATGTAAAGTGAATGTGCTTCTCCAGGCTGAATATGAAAGGTCAGCGTAAGGCAAACACCACTGAATGAAATGCAATGATTTCATCGCTCCACTTTACAATTGACATCAGTTAGAAATAGATCAAATGACTGACTGGGTTACATACACATTAGGTGTGGTAAGGCAATTCTACAGCTATATGGCCTCACCCTTGTGACTCAAGACTCATAACACCTTCCTTACGTCAGTGCTTGGTGTCCTTGTAGCAATTTGATATCTGCGATGTAATGCGTATTCTATTTCTCCTTGCTTTATTTGGTTTCATTAAACCTCTGCTGTTCTCTTAGACAGCACTAAAATATTATGTAAATGTGACTTTAGAGGTTTTTAAAAAAATCTGTTCTGCATTTTTTTTCATGTATAAAAGATCTAATAAATGAGATGAGGCACCTGAACATTATTAGTTCCATAGGAATGCACAATTTAGACAGAATGTTTTTCATCAGAGCACTCTCTAGACTATCAGAGGCAAACATGGGCTATTAAGCCATTAGCATTCTTGATTCCTGTGCAGCTGGAGGAAATCACTTCTTAAATGTAATAGTTCGTTTTAATCAATAACAAAGAGCAAAGATTATTACAGCCACATCTTTAACTGTCAACCATAACAATTTAGCTCAGATTTGTTTTGTGACAATTTGTAAAATTGTAAAACACAAAAGAGGGACCTACTTGTAACTGCATTGCTGCAAGGACACTACTAGTGGTCAAAAACTCCACAGGGTACCTTTAACTTGTTGAGTAAAATATAAAAATTCAGAACACAAGTAGGCATGAAATACCTTTTTGCAATTAAAAGCATTCAAATGAACAGTAGTTAAATACAGTGCTACGGTCCATATATTACAGTGGGTACTGTGTTCATGTCTTGTTCCATTCCTTCTTTCCCGGAGCGGCAGGGTTTGAGTTGTGATCTGGCTCCAGGGAGATGTGAAGTTGATTTGCAGTTCTTTCACTTTTCAGGGAAAATAAAAGACAGACTCGTGTGTTGTCTCTGCCTCCAGAACCCAATTTGTCAGCCAGTGTGAATAAGTGTGAGAGACTTGAAATTGTGCCTTGGGTGGCAAAACTGACGTGGATCCGAGGTCACTTGAGGTGGGTGTTGGTTTGAAAACAGTGTGTATGTGCCTGACTCATTCTGAAATAAGTTTCCAGAGGTGGGGCGGGGGAGTACAAAGAGCTTTTATGCCAGTCAGGATGTGTTGATTGTTCAGCGTGCCCTGCCTGCTTAGTGCTGAGCATCCGCGCAGGGAAAATAATGGGGTTGGAATTTTTAAGACTGGAAAATGCTAAAGTGGAATTAAGGATGAGGTAAAACACAAAGTAAAGCATTTAACAAGAACTGTCAGGATTCCTCAACAGTGTTCTTTTCCATCATGTGTCTGTTTGTGTTTGTTGGTAGGCTAATTGTTAAGTCTCTGCATTGCTGGCTTTTGAA